TCGCGCGAATATGAACGTGGTTTTGCGCAGCTCGTCAGTGAACAACGGTTCTGTGTAGTTAATGCTGCTCAATGTGAAAGCACGCAGGTGATGGAGATTTACCGCTGATTACAGAACCGGCTTTACTGATAAGATGCGCGTTAAATATCGCATGCGATTTATCGTGCAGCCCTAGTGATTATTTTGCCTTATGTCTGTCCTAGAGACATGTTACAGCCCATTTTCAGAAACAACGTTTGGATTTGAAATCAAAATAATGGATAAATGTTGTGTTAGTGGTAAACAGCCGAGTAAAGCAAAATGAGTCTGTGCTGCTTCTGCATACACATACTGTATATATCAAAGAAATCGCGATAGGTTTTTTTTTTCCATATCGCACAGCCCTAGTTGCCAATACCATTATAGTTTCCATTAAAATAATGGTAAACAATCAGTACTTTGCCCCCAAAATAATCAGTTTATAGTTAAAAAAAAAAAAGTCATTTAAATTTCATAAATTGATTCAGATCTGTATTATTCTGAAAGATTTGGAAAGTAAATTACCTGCCAGTTGGCCAGTAGCCTTAATAGAAACTGCAGATGCATTGCTGATGTAAATGACTTGAGTGAATCGGGCCAAATTACTGTGAACTAGAGAAAACAATTGTTGCGACTTGAGCATATTTAGCAATAAATGTGCCATTGCAAGTTTATTTAGATTACCTACATATTTTGCTCCAAACCACCATGTGATGACACATACAAAATCATGATGTGCCATCATGTTTTTAGTGATGATCCGAAGACTGAAGTCTGGAGTAATGGCTGCTCAAAAATTCAGCTTTGCCATCATACATTTTAAACTTAGAAAACAGTTGTTTTAAATTTCAATATTTCACAATATTACTAGTTAACTGTATTTTTGCTCTAATGAATGCAGTCTTGGTGGGCATAAGTCTACTTATATTGGTAGATGATAATTATTTATGGCATAAATTAATAAGACAATTTTGAACTTCAGTCAAATTGTAAATCTGGGTCAGTAACACACTTTAAATACATATACATGGTGGTGTTGGTGTGTATATATTTATAAATATAAATAGATGACCAAACCTACTTGATGGATAGACAGTGACTAAGATGTTGTATCAATGGCATTCATTTGCTGTAGTGGTATATTGATTTCCTCCACTGGGTAGCTAGAGGTTTGGCAGTGAGTTCAGAGAGCATGTTGGCATTTTTGGAGGAGAATTATTCTTGAGGCTGCTCTTGTATTAAAGCTTCTCCAGTCTTTTCTCTGAAGATGTCTCACCAAAGCAAAGCTCCACTCAGCTCTCGTCATTTGTCTGAATAACTGTCTGTCTGGCAGTAGCGAGTGAGTCAGAAGCCTTTTTCTCCTGGAAATCTTTTGTACGTCACTACTTCAATCTCAAAGCTTCACAAAAGCGTTTTATGTTTTTAAAAATAGTGCAGGTGTGAGAAAGAAACTCAAGATATGTATCTATTGTTTTTCATAGTAACACAACGGCTGTGTCCGAAACTTAAGGCTGCTGCCTTGATGACTAAATAGGTGGATTTCTTTTGTAAATCACCTAATAAGGAAAACTAGGTTTAGACACCATAGCATCATGTTTAATGATCTAGAACAGTGTTACTCATTGCGTGGCAAAATAATACGATTATATGATCATGCAGTCAATACAGATATTTCATAAAAACATTAAAAACAAGCAGGGCTATAACATAACCCATTAAAAAAACTCACACCATGTCTACACCGGACGCGAGTGGCGCGATCCGACAAAGACAGTAGAACCCAGTGATGTTGTCTACACTGGATGCGGCGCGATGCGACACGATCCCCATCAGTAAACTGATGCCTCGTTCTATTTATGACGAACTGTACTGACACTACGTTCAGATGATTTGCAAAGTTGTCGCTTTGTCGCGTCAAGTGTAGACAGACTTTTAGTGCAGCGTGGTGCGGCACGACAACTGTCGCGTCCAGTGTACAGTAGACATGGTCAGACAGTGTCTGCTTTATTACAAATAATTTATATTTAAAAAAAAAAAACAACCTAAAACAGCGGCATTACAAGATGGAAATATAGACTAGAAAATATATTTATTTGCCTGAAGCGTGAAAGAAATAACGCATTATATGGAGCCACTAAAAGGTTAGCCGCTTGCTAGCGGTAGCCTGTTGCATTACAGTACATGAAAGTTCACTTGCCACATACACAGAGTAAGAAGAATGGCATCGTCTATCGGCCCAACCCTACTCATAACACAGAAAGACTCCGGAACATTAAACTGCTGTAAACCAATATACTGTTACACATAGGGCTGAACGATTAGTGACCGTTGCAAATCATTTGAACTTTGTGTCAGTACGTCATAAATGGAACAAGGCATCAGTTTAATGTCGGGTGCCACTGATTATAATGGTTTCTACTGTATTTTGCCGCTTGCGTCTGGTGTAGACACGGTGTTTAATGTCGTTGGTGAGGAGGAAAGCCTGTGTGTGTGTCCTATGCGTTAGCGGACAGCATGAAACCCACAAAAAATAAATAACAGCAAGAGAATAATAAATAAAAATGTCATTCATATCAATTCATGCATCACCTAATTTCATCGTAACATATAGGCCTGGCCTACAGAAAAGAACATTTATGTTTAATCTATCGAATAGTGTGTTGGGCATACTATACAATGATTTATTGCTTGTCTGTGTTGAATAATACAGAACATAAAGAGCTTTAAAAAAAATAATTGCGAATAATACAGAACATAAAGAGCTTTAAAAAATGATTGCATATTAAATTGCAATCGCAATATTGGTAAAAAAAAATCGCAATTAGATTATTTTCCAAAATCGTTCAGCCCTAGTTACACATCCATTTTCTTTCTCAATTGTTTACCTTCACCTAAGCCATAAGCATCTGCGTTTACAAGGATACATGCAGAGCACAGTATTTCAGGCACAAATAGACGCAGAGCCGGACACGAGCGACGCGACAAAATACAATGAACCCATTATAATCAGTAATGCTGTCTGTCTACACTGGATGCGGCGCGGCATGACAAATCCCCAACAATAAACTGATGCCGCGTTCTCTTTATGACATACTGACACAAAGTTCAAATGATGAGCAACGGTCGCTTTGTCGAGTACAGTGTAGACAGACTTTGGGGCCGTTCACATGTCGCGCCTAAAAACGCGTGGCAAAATGCCAGTCGTGCCGCTTTCTCCTTCTTTCCAAAGCGCTCGGGAGCTTGCACTTTCGTGGGGTCTGCAGTTGCTAAGCGACCGTGACCTGCGCTCTCCACGACGACGCGGAAGTTTCAGCAAAGGATAAATGGATATTCCAGCACTGAAAATCGCGTGCAGTAGCTCTGCTACTAAATGTATTTAAAATGGGTATCTCTGTACAGCTGTCGCGTCCGGTGTAGACACCGTGTCTGTGTGCGAGCAAAGAAAACAATCAGTATAAATATAACGATCAGTAGCCTATTACTAAACATCACACATCCTGAGATGTGACTATCGTGGATGCGCACATCGCGATATCGATGCTTAAACGATATATCGTGCAGCCCTACAAGAAATCATAAGTTGGAAAAAATTAAAACAATTTTAAATTAATTTCTTTTAACCAAAGCTAAATTTTTAACAGCACTTTCGTTTAGATCTTGGATTCAGACTTTCCTTTTCCATTTATAGGTTTTGAAGAAAAATGTTACTTATGATTTTATTTGTAAGGAATAATTAACCTAAAAATGAAAAGTGTAATTTACTCACCCTCATGTTCTTCTGAAAGAACCTCACCAAAGAAAAACTTGTTTTTGCTGTGTATGCATAATATTGTAGTCTGTACTGTAACATCAACTAAATGTTAACTATACGTCATTGCAAATATGAGCTTGAGTCCTCATAACCCTCCAGGACTGTAATGTTATCTGAAATGTTAGTTAACTGCTAACTGCTAACTAACCTTCACTAAACAGACACCAAAAATGTCTGTGTTCTTATTTGTAGTAGTGGATTCATTTAGCTTGTAACAAGTATCATGGCACTGAATGTTTGCTGAAGGCTGTATCGTACAGCTTGCTCTTTGTCACAGCATTTCGCTTATCTGTGGTCTTTTTTTTTTTTTAACCCCGAGGCCGTCTCGGGAAGTGGTGACATCACTAATAAACAATGTCTGTCAACTGGGCCAGGCCACAAGCTCTTCCTGACAGAGCTGCCGGCCACCAGCAGTGCATCATGGGAAGAAATGGAGCTGCTTTGTTGCTTTATTTATGACACGGACATTCTGTATGTTAAAAGTTACAGTTAGTTGCTGTAACTTTTATTTTTAGCATTTTCTTTAATCAATAATTCATTAATTTCTGTGTGTAAATCTGTATCTATATACTTTTATATAGTAAATTGAAGGGGGTCTGAATACTTTCCGTACCCACTGTATAATGATTAATTCATTTATAAATAACCTCTGGTCTGAACAGGCCAATAAAAATTCTACATTAGTCACGTTAAAAGTGTCAACCTACAAGTACTGTAAACACTGCAGCCCACTGTATTTCATTATTTAAAAAAAAACAGTGAAGCACAGGCCACCTCCATGCAGCCATTAACAAACACGTTTAGTTATAGAGAGAATAGCACACTTATTTGTTGTTTAGCAGAACAATATGGTGTAATTTTTTTCCCATTAAGATACAGACATGTTCTTTAGACATCACTTTAAATATCTTTTATTGGAGATCAAGTCTAAAGCCCCGTTCACACTACAAGCGACATGCAACAGCAAAGCGACACAATCCCATTCATTTCAATGTAGAGCTGGTGATTTCCGGCGACACGAGCGACAGCGGCCGTTGGCGACCGAATGGGGCGTGTCCAGCGACGCGACAAAGTTCAGAATCCTTCAACTTTATGCAAATGCAGAGCGACTTTCGGGAGCGACAGCCAATAGGAAAGAAGACAGTAGAGCTCATGTGATCGTTCTCCTCTCAGCGCCGTAGATAAACATATGCAATGGAAGAAAGTAGGCTCTGTTTCTCATTCATTTTTGTTTGTATGTACGGATTTAATTTAGATTTAGATTATATTTAGTCTTTTGTCTCCAAAATGTTTGTACTTAGCGGCAAGAAACCTGATTCGCTGTCAAGGCAACCAGTATTGAGAACGCCCACTAGCAACCTCATCGCCAGACCCTGGTGACATGAGTCACTGCTAATGTGAACGGGGCTTAACAGAACAAGCTGAAGTGTTTGTTCACAAATTCCTGGCTCTATGTTGATGTGAATGTATTAGGAAATTGCAGCCTCAATAAGTGCATCTTACACTGATGTGTACAGTATAACGTCATGTAACATGTTTAATCAAGAAAAGCTTATAACAGGTTTTAGCTAAACAACAGTTTACAGGTAAAGTAACTAATTATTTGCATAAATTGGCACATTTAAACCTCATATACTTTATACTGTGTTTTTTATTCCACAGCATTCAGCGTAACATTAGATCAAAACAGGAAAAACTATTTTATAAAATAATAAATTAAAATTTATTCAGCTTTAATTTACATTTTCAATTTAATTTGAGAATACTTGAAATAGATTGGAAAACCTCTTAAAATATAATAGTGATAACTGGTAGAAATAATAATGGCAGAAATAAAAAATAATGCATATCTGTTGATTGAAACTAAAACTAATTGATTATGAAATCTTGCCAGGCATATTGTCCTTTCAAATTACTTTTTGTTAACAATAAAGCAAAAGTCTTGTCAGATGAAGTTCCTGTACAAGACCTGCAGGAACATGATCTTCACAAACCTGAATTTGACCCAGCATTTTAGCTCTTGGCTGTCTGTCATGATCTTTATTGAACGATTAGTTGTCACCAACACAACATTTTGGACAAATGGTTGGAGGGAGCCATGCTTTGCTATGATTCTGAAAGATCAGACCCTCAGCACATGAGACAGGATTGTGGGAAAGATACCATCAGGTACATCCTGCTACGATGACAGATGCTCGCTCCATATAAAGTTACATTGACACTAATCTTGCAGGTCTGCTGGAACCTAGTGTCTGACAAATCATTTTTAGACTCACATTCATGTGATGATTTACAACCAACCAGTTGCAAATGACATGGGGCGTATTTGATATGAATCTGATTCATTCTATGTAGGGTTCAATCTTTTTCTAGTTTTATGGATTGAAATGAGCAGAGAATGGAGAACATGTATGGAGCAGGGCCACCTGCCAAGCTTTTCCCAGCTAGGCTGGTTTTGTTGATGGAAGGCAGGCTTTGCTTTGTTTGGTCAGCTGATGGTCGGCAGCACTAGTCAGCATTTTATGTGCCACTCTCATTGGCTGCACAGAAAATGTGTGCGAGCGTGTTTGTGTTTGTCTGTGAGAGATTGAGAAATTCTTGAAAAACAGATATGCTGAATGATGCCGTAATGGTGATCTCTTAAATAACATGAGGTCATCTTTCTCAATTTTTCTTGCTCCGAATCAGATCTTTTCTAGTCTTCTACTTTTATTCAAGCTTTTAATTGCAGTTTTGATGGCAAGGAATCTCATTTGTTCAAAGATGCTAGCCATTTATGATTTCCAAATGTTGTATTAAACATTATTATTGTTTTATTACAGTAGTTAGTCAGAAACATTAACTATGCCATTATCTGGGCTTAAAGTTCTCCGGCACCGTGCTGGATCTCCGGTGTGCGGCGTTTGGCTGTGGGAAAAAAAAAGATAGTCGTCCTACATTTAAAAAACACTTGTTGATACCACGTTCGAGTTCATGAGTTCGCCTACCAATGTATGAGAGGAACACAGCTTTCACTCTCAACAAAACTAACATTACTAGCCAATCAGAAGTTTTTGCTCTTATAAACACGAGACGTGCATAATAGTATCCAATTGCAGAGTCGCAGCTGATTAGGGCTGCCACTAACGACTATTTTTATTTAGATTAATCTATCGACTAATTTATCGATTAATCTTAAAGATTAATTTCCCACAAAAAATCAACAATTTTACTTGGGAATATTTTATTAAACTATATTTTATTAAACCACAGACTAAACTGGATTATTATTGATAAATTGTAACTATGTTGTTTATATTATATAGGTATTCTTTAATTACAACGCAGGGCTTATACATAAGCTGGGCGCGAGCACATGACATACCTTTCCCGTAACTGGTACAATCGTGAAGTAGGTTGGCTTGGGTTGAAAGTCGCTTGTAGCAAAAATGTTTCCCAGGCTCTGCCTTCGCGTACTCAGACGCTGATCGCTCCACCAGCAACGATTCCACTAGGATCTTTTGCTCAAAGCCATGCTGAATCCAAGAGGCTGACGACAACGACAGATCCGAAATAATCGCCATTATTCCAGCGCTGAAGTAGTTTTTTGAACAGAGAAATCAGGATGCCCGTGAGAGGCGGAGGACGAGTTGCTTATCCGAATAAAAGCGACAATGTTGTAAGTATCGCTGCCTGGAGGAATGTCATCTAACTTACAGTTTTTCCGAAACAGTTTTATTTTTGTTTGTGGAATAAAAACCTAAGCGTTAGAATATAAGAATGTTTTAACCCACATAGTGTATATTAATTTTGTTTATGATAATAAGGTTGTTTCACGGAGATTGGCTTTAGCCAATGGAATGCTGCACTGTGAACTTCACCTGTTGAGTTTCCCTCAGGGCGAACGCTACTGTACCAGCACCCTCTTGTCAACTTTATCCCAAATAATTTACTTCTAGAACCGTTTCTAATGGTCTTTAGCGGTGTTTCCTTGTCATTTAGAGACGCCCACGTCTAAATACAATGTTATAGAAACAAAACGGGGATTGTTGTACAGTTGTAGTGCTTTCGCTTTGGGAGTTGCTGACATGTTTGGCCTGAAAAGGCAGGATTGAAGTTTACTTTGACGCTTTGTCGTTTGGTCTCTTGTGAGGACTTGAGATAGATTGTTGATATAAGCTCTACAGACACAGGCCTTGTGTTAACATTCTTTTCCTAATTCCAGGTTTAGCTCATTTCTATTCTGTTTCAAACAGCACAATTTGGTATTGAGCATTTTATACTTCTAAAATATAAATTATTAAGCAAGTTGTAAAGTACTATTATATACATTTTTAATATTTGTTTTTGGACAATACGAGTCAAAAGTTTGGACACACCTACAGTATTTTTTATTATTATCCACATTTTATATAACTGTAAAGTTTAAGTTATGAAATAACACAAAACGAAGTAAAGGAATTATATAGTGACTACAAAATGATAAACAAATGGAAATGATCTTATACTTAATTTCTTTAGTCAATCCTAGTATGCTAGACCCTTGTTGATTGCTTGTCCTTCTTTATCTCCGATATTCAGTATATTTAAATATTGTTTTTGCATTTGCAACATTAAGAAAAAAAATTCTCCATTAAAACGGCATGATCTGGATTAGGGCTGCCACTAACGACTATTTTTATTTAGATTAATCTATCGACTAATTTATCGATTAATCTTAAAGATTAATTTCCCACAAAAAATCAACAATTTTACTTGGGAATATTTTATTAAACTATATTTTATTAAACCAAATGAAATCCAAATTTTTATGAAATCCTTTTTTTAAAGCAAAAGTAAAGTGCAACAGAGTGCAAGAAGCAAGTGTCCATCTCATAGTCCAAATCACTGAAATCAAAGTTCAGTATTATAGTGTAAGAATGACAACACATCCACGTGTTCTAGTCTACTAATAATACAATTATAATCAAAAAACAATTTTTAAAGGAGTATTTACCAGAAATATTATTTACCAGAATTTATTTAGGAGAAAAATGTAAACGTGCAGTATTTCTGGAAAAAAGGGGGAAAAAACTTAAAAAAAATAAAATCAATTAATTGGAGATGCTTTTGATTATTAAAATTTAATGGAGCCATTAAAATGGAATCCAGAAAATAATGGAAAACAGAATTTGGTAAAGAAACTGTAAAACTCAATTAATTAGACAGGCTTT